TGATGACAGAACTTTCTTCAGAGTTGAATACACATCATGCCATCTAGAAATTCCAAGCTGCTTACACGCTGATGCTGGCCAGTACAAAGTTACCTTGGAGAACAGCAATGGTTCAGCTAGTGGAACAATCAATGTTAAAGTTATTGGTATGTTTTTGAGTTCTGTTATCGACTGGTTGGAATATATCAGCTTTTAACAACTGATGAAAACATAATAATGAAAATGCACCTTTACATTTGAAACTAATGCCTTTACTTTGGTTTTGCTGTGCTTGTTACAAATGATAGGTCTTCCTGGGCCATGTAAAGAAATTGTTGCTAGTGAGATTACCAAGAGCACCTGCAAGGTGTCCTGGGATCCTCCAGACTATGATGGTGGTAGCCCTATTCTCCACTATGTGCTACAACGCAGAGAAGCAGGCAGGAGAACCTATGTCAATGTTATGTCTGGAGAAAACAAAGTTAGTTGGCCGGTTAAGGATCTCATTCAAAATGGAGAGTATTACTTCCGTGTCAGAGCTGTCAACAAGATTGGTGGTGGTGAATACATTGAACTTCGCAACCCTGTAATTGCTGAAGATCAGAAGCGTAAGTAATAACATTCATTGAAAGCATTTGGATGTAACTTTCATTTTGCATAATATTTTAACAACCTTTTGTCATTCAAATACAGAACGTCCTGACCCACCAGTCGATGTGGAAACACACAACCCAACTTCCGAGAGTGTGACCCTTACTTGGAAGCCTCCCATGTATGATGGTGGAAGCAAAATTATGGGTTACATTCTTGAGAAGATGATAAAAGGGGAAGAGAACTTTCAGAGATGCAATGACTTCCTTGTGCCAGTGCTGTCCTATACTGTTAAGGGGTTGACGCAAGGAAAACAATATCAGTTCCGTGTTCGTGCTGAAAATGCAGCTGGTATCAGTGATCCTTCACGCAGCACACCTTTGATCAAAGCCACAGATGCAGTTGGTATGAACTCATTCTTTTGTTATTTGTCAAATCATACATTTTCATCAGATGTGAAGTCCCTCTGAAGCAAGCTATTGGTACTATATATATGTAAGCATTTTTTTGTTATTCTGCTTTTAGATCGTCCAAAGGTATTCCTTAGTGGTAATCTACAATCAGGCTTGACTGTGAAACGAGGTGAGGAGATCCGATTGGATGCCAATATCTCTGGATTCCCTTACCCCCAAATTACATGGATGAGGGACAATTCAACCATTTGGCCAGAGCCACTGAAGAAGAGACCAGAAAGGCC